TATGACGATAGAGATCGATATAGACATTTATAGTATGTTGTTTAATTATGACTATAGAGATCGATATAGACATTTATAGTATGATGTTTAATTATGACGATAGAGATCGATATAGACATTTATAGTATGTTGTTTAATTATGACGACTAGACATCTAGTAAACAACAAACATTTTACATTTATAAACATTCATAAACATTTAACAAATTTCATGGAATACACGAATAGAAAGATATAGTAAATTGGAGAAATCGATTATTTGACTGGTTTTAACATCTATTTGGATATGATTGTTTTAACATCTATTTGGATATGATTGTTTTAACATCTATTTGGACGTCGATTGCTCTTCCGTAAAACGTTGAAATTAGATCCTCGTTCTTAAGGGTCTTTTCCTTTTTCTTTCTTTTTGAGAGAAACAGCTTTGTTTCTATTTCATCAGGCTAATCAGTATTGTTGTTCGCGCATACTCTTCTCGTTTCATTCCAGGATGCTTATTTCTTTTCTCGTAGCGTCCTTTTTTTTTATTTTTTTATTTTTTAATTTTTTTTTATTTTTTTATTTTTTAATTTTTTTTTTTTTTTTTTTTTTTTTTTTTCACATCAAAACGAACCATTATTAGAGCGTACTGCTTCATATACTGTGAGATACGGATCGAAGGATTATCCAAATTTGTATGTCACGATCCTCCTCATCCAATATCCTTTTACCAATATCGTTCTTAGCATTGTCGTTAATATTATCAGCGTTATCGTTATTAGTATGTTATTATCATTATTAATTATCGTTCATTAACTTCAGTTTGCGTGATTAATTAGCGCGTTCAATTTAAAGTATAATTATACATTTATATATGTGTATATTATATATATGTGTTTATTATAGTTCTTGAATATTATATATATGTATTTATTATAGTTCTTGAATATATTTATATATATGTCTTATTTATATTAATATTTAACATCGATAAGTTTAACGTTGTTTAACATCGATAAGAGGTTGGTCATATGCTTGCCTTTACGATGCTAAAGAGTTTTGTAAGTTGAAGATTTCGACTTGTATAGTTCACATGCACGTGGAAGGTGATTATTTTTCGCCTTTCCACTCTCTATCCAATCCTCGGCAATCGATTCTTTCACTGTTTTCTTTGCTGTTCCATATGCTATTCTCTTTTTTTCGCGATGTTCCATTCGTACGTTCAAATGTTATTTCCTTTCATTCGTTAATCTTTCTCATCTTTTCTCATCCATTTCTACTCAATATTACTCAATATTAATACAAACGCATTTTGGAGCTAAAAAATTCTCTATCGACGCAACGATATCATCAATCTGGCTAGATTCTTTGGATTTATCACAGAAAAATAGTTTTAATAATATTCCGTTTTACTTCACCCTTGTGCACTGACACGTTTTTTCTAACACTTTCGTATGTACTACGAAACGTGCAAACGAAATTTCATGCTTTTTCAACGACTTAGAAGAAACGTATAAATAATGAAATTAATGCAAGACTGTACAAATATAACAGAAAATAAATATTTGATATTTACAAATAAAATATTTAATATTTAGAAACAAAATAAAGATAAAAAGATACATAAATATTTAGAAATAAAACAAAGATAAAAAGATATACAAAGATAAAAACATCGTTCTTGGATAAATAAACGAAAAGAAAAGGAACCATAAACAAAGAACATGTCTTTTATCGAATCTTTCGATAAAAAAGCATAGATAGCAAAAGTGTTAGAATTTTCTTCCATTTCATTTCTAAATTCTATTTCAAGGAGTGTAAACGTTGGCATATCTGAGTATCCGAAATTCTCACGTATTCGTCTGTTTTTTCTTTTTTCTTTTTATTATATTTATGCATTCTCTTTAAATGCGACGATACGAAATACGATTGAGTTTTATAAAGCACTTAAGGGAAAAAATCACGTTCAGCATTGACTGCACATCATAAAATTTACACTCGTGAGATTCTCAATGTTTCTCGATAGTTTTTTTATATTTTTTTTCCTTTTTGTAATTTATGTATTATTCTCCTTTTTTTTCACTTCATCTTCATTTACCGTAATGGCATTTTCTTCGGCGCTTTGTAGCGCAACATACATCACCGCATAATGTGCCTCTCAATGTGAATTCGTCGGAATAATTGTTCTTCCTTCAACCGACGGAAAAAAAGTGAACGACAAAATTGAAGAAAAAAAAAAAAAAAAAAAATAGGAAGAATGAGAAATACACTATGTATGTCTAATGAAGAACAAAAGTATTCCATCACCGAGAACCTTAAGTCACGAGAAGCATTCTCATATTGTCGACAAATCTATCGTTTCTCCTTTTCTCTTTTCTCTTTTTGTCCATCTTTCACTTTGCCATTTTTTCTCTCTTGTTTTTCTCGGTCGTTACATACTTACATTAATTATACGGTAGTACTACATTAATTATACGGTAGTACTACATAGTTACACATATTCAGTCGAAATCCATGCACAAAGATTACACAGACAAGCGTGAAGTGATATTGAAAAAATGATTTTTAAACCTTTTTTTTGTTCTTTTTTTGTTCTTTTTTGTTCTTTTTTTTTTTGTTTTCTTCTGTTTTTAAAGACTTTCACCCCATTCATCTGGTTTTCGTTTATAATCGCACGTTCTCTTTTTCTTACATTTCATCACATTACATCTGATATTTTATCTACGTATAGATGCTTGTGTATACGTGCTGCGACAGATATTATTTTTATATTCATGTATCTCGTATGTGTTTCCGCTTAAAACACTCTGTAGGATTGGCAGTATATTATATTCAATCAAGTTTGTTCGATCAAGCCTTCCCTCGAATCAGCCGATTTCCATTGCTCGTTTTGTTTCAAGGTGTACAGACTGTATCTCACTGAGTGGAGAAGGAATAGAAGAAGATGAGGACTGTATCTCACTGAGTCCTCATTTTATATTCCTTCTCCACAGTGACGACGTGATGATGATGTTTTATTGTAGCTTCTCTTTTTTGTTTCCGATCGTGTATACCTGTCTTGTGGGACGTGGACATCAACTGCGACGTAGTTCCCAAGTTCCAAGCTAGTTGATTAACATTGCTCCCGCGTTCGTGGTTGAATTAATGAGCCTCCCCAATGTGGAAGATTCACGCGCCAAACCCTAAGACGCCTGGAGATGTCCACGTCATCGGACCACCGTCTAGGGTCCCATTTTTTAACACCAGTCTTCGTCGTCGCTATCAGAGTGTCTCGAGCTGCAACGAAAATTCATTTTCAATATTTCGTTCTTAAGGCGAGTTTTCCATTTGTAGCCGCTGATTTTAAATGATATGCTGCATAAAAAAATTATTACGTTATTATAGATCAAGGGTTTCGAAATTTTGTATATCTACAATTTAGTCATGTTTCAAGACGATACAATATAATTATGTTTGTTTCAATTATTGTATGTATTTCACGCAATTTAAAATGGTTGAAAATTATGCAGAAAAGAATAATTCTCACCGCTTTTAATGGAATTGAAGTATGTTGTCGAGAATGTAATAATTCTGAACGATTATTTCTATATGTGTGATCTTCATTATCCCAGATAATGACGAAAGACTAGCGACACATTACATTGAATTCTAGATGAATCTATCGCTTTATACATTTTCAGGAAAAATTATTTGACTTTGTTTCGATATTCATATAATGGGAAAAATTAAGAAAAAAGAAAAAAAATCACATCCCAATCGACTTGAAAAAAATCTGAAAAGCAGGAAAACCGTTTACATTTACATACATACCGCCAATATTGACGAATTTGGTGTGTTTCAACTTAGAACAAGGTTCCAAAAAAATTGTTATCTTTCACAAAATTAATAAGTCTGTTATATAGCAAAAATAAATAAATAAAGATAAGTAAAGATAAATAAGTAAAAGATATGCAACGTGTATCTTTCTGTAATTAATATTTAATATAAATCAATACCAATGCTCATTTAAAAAAAAAATGCCTATCATTTTTTGGTTATTGATTTGAGCAAAATAAATTCCCGACCGGTAACACTTTTGTTGAATTAAAAATTGAGTTCCTCTGTTTCTTCTATCTGTGTTTATAAATTGGAACGATATAAAAATGTCGTAAGCAGCCAATATTTATGCATATAGGACGCGCATTTATGTCACATAGGTAGAATTTATATGTCTAGTACTGGCAGTTTTTTGCAAATATCTTTGAAACTAACACCGACGGTAACATGTACAGAAAAAAAGTGTTTAGAATTATGTCTCCGATAACATATTTCAACCGCATTGATATCGGTGAAAATTATCCTTTCCAGCATACTTACTAAATAGTTATTTTGTGGAATAAAGTAAAAGAAAAAAATTTTTTTTTTAATAAAATGACATATGAAGCGAAAGTTCATTAAATGTATTACTTTTTCAGACGACAAAAGAAAAACTACTGTCTATATTAATATAATTCTAGTTCTAATTCATAGTTTTTTCTTTCAAATGAATAGTACAACATAAATCGTGACAACTATTAGAAATGATATACTACGAATACAGTGATTTGAATAATAATGCAGGTAATTATACAAAAATTACACTATGTTGTCTCGAAACGTAGTCAAAGGTATACAAAATTTCAAAATATTATATATCTGTAATACAAATCTAACAATTTTCTGTCCAATAAATCGCTTAAAAATTGGTAGCTTCGAACGAGAATACTTCCTTAGTAGTACTCGAGATTGTATTTCGACATGATTGTCCCTACTGGCTGAACGATTCTGCAGTTGCAATTTATATTTTAATAAATTAACTATCTTGGCCGTGGAATATTCATTTTTTAATCTTAGAACCAGGCTATTTGATACTTCAAAAATTTTATTCTAAATTGCAATTCAAACATTGATTAGCATAGGTCTTTGCTCAGTAGTATAAATTAAAACAGGCCAGACGCTGAGTCCCCGATTGCTGAGGAGAAACTTGCGTTAATGCTTCATACTAGATTTAATATGAGTCTAAGAGCTAAATTAAAACCGTACCTGGGTGACCTCTCCTCAGCGTGTAGCTGCGGCTTGTAGCCGTTGGGCACAGGTAATAGACGCCTACCGCGGCCTATCTCCACCGCCTGCTCGAAGCTCAACAAATACTGGTTCGATTCCATTGAATGTATTGATGGCAGACGTATTCCAGTCGGTGGACGCTGCATTCTAGTCGGTGGACGCTGCATTCCAGTCGGTGGACGCTGCATTCCAGTCGGTGGA